AGAATCCACATAAGCTTGTTTTTCATCAACCGGTCATAAATGACAGCAGGGCATGTAAATCCGGTCTGTTTTTGTCCAGACAGAAACTGCACACAGACTGAATGTGAATGTGAGTCTCTGTAAATCCACTCTCTGACAGCAGGTGGCGCTGATGCAGCAGCAGAATTACAGCTGTTTCCCGTAAAGAACACTAGTTTATTAGCTATTACATGGAGCGAAGGTGAAAACAAAATGCCATCCAATCTTTTCTGAAGACAGTCAGAATCTTCAGAGGTACATTCATATAATTAATTCATCCATATATTCATTTGTATAATTCCCTTAGCACTCTTTAAAACCTCCCATCTTTTCCTCCATGTTTTCACACAAAACTAAACCACTCTGCTGCTGTGCGCACCCGAGACTGTTACTGAAATCTGTGTTTTATGCTTCAGGGCTCCAGACTCATTCTTCCCACTGGTCGCTCTTTTGCGACTAGCTTTCTCAGTTGGTCACACCAGCACATGATTTGATCGCAGTATTTTTATTTTTAGGGATTAATCAATGCATGCTGATAAACTTTTATCATAGATTATAGTTATATGAAAACGAAAGTGATTAACATTCAACCTCTTCTTTTTCATCAGTATTATGTGTGATTTAAATTTTGTGAACGGGAGTTCCTATTTTGCTGTGTTATAAGCCAGGGTTCGGGTGCTTTCATTTTCGAATTCGCGATCTTGGTGTCACTTACATACATCTATACATATTTTACTTTTTAAGACTAAAACAAAAGATGGATTCATTGTCATTCTTAATTAAAAAGCATAACAACAATAAAACAGTAAGATACAATGACAAACTAGCTTACAAAACGTTTATTACCAAAAACGAATAAGACGAGGCATGGCATACACCACATGCTGTATTATATACCGACTAATAAATTACAGAAGGTTTAGCAAACACTGAGGAATCAAATAAATAAAAAAAGAGAGCCTCCATAGCATAACGTGAGGTAAACAGCAAAGATAACAAGCTTTTCAAAATGAAAACAAAAAGAA